GAACTATTGTTAAGGATTTCGAGCAGAAATATGGTGGAAATTAAAGTAGAAGTAAAAGTAGAATAAAAGTGAAATAATATCCAATATAAAAAAAACAATTTAAGTAATTAATTTCAGTTAAGTAAGTAATTAATTTGTGGAAAATTGATAATTGATTCGTTCAATAAATTATTTTTTTTAAATTATGTGATATTTTACATTGGATGGAGATACAAAATTTTCACTACTATCCAAAAATACAAGAAAACTCGTTTCATGTATTTTTGCTGTGTTACTTCTTCACTATTTGGACAGAATAGATATTGAATTGAAATGGAAAAGTAAATTGATAATTTCGTTTCATTCCATGTTTGCAAAGTACACAATCTACGAAAAAAATAACATAAAATATATTAAATATAAAATGTATTATTAGAATAATTTATTGAAATAAAAATTACCTTTTCTATTGTTATTTTCTATTATTATATCGATCTTAACAGTTTAATCTAACAACTTTTTCATTAAAAAGTTGTATCAAACTCTTCGTACGATTTAAAAAAAGTACTATACTTTTCTACTTTTTTTCACGATACCATCGACTCGATACAAGTTCATACAATAAAAAAACAATAGTTTCGTGGTTACTTGACATCGCTACAAAGAAGTACAACCGATGGTTTCAGCTTCGACGTCCGTGGTCGCCGACAGTTCAACAATGCTCGCCTCTGGTCGTCGCCGACGGCACTGGGACCAAGAGCTTTTTTTATCACAGCGTCGAATCCTGCTCACCTCAGCATCGATCGGCTGGAAACTAAGGACGAAGGGATCTATCGGTGTCGAGTGGACTTTAAGAATTCGCCGACGAGAAAGCAAAAGATGAATTTGACTGTTATAGGTGAGCAATTCATTTCAACTTAACAAAAATTACAATGTGTCTGAATTATGCAATTAATATTCGATCGTATAACAAGAAAGATTAATATAATTATAAACTGTCCAACATTATATTTCATAAGAAACCCATCCAATCTAACATTGCGCAAGACACTATCTAATTCTAAGAAGAGAGAAAGAGAGAGAAAAAACGATTATTTATTCGTATTATTTATTCGAAATTTATATTCGTATTTCTATCCAACGGTGGAAAGAATTAAATATCCAACCCTTGGATATAAATAAATCACTCGGTGGCCAAGTTGGTGCGCAATTTACCGTTTCACGCGGAAATTCAACCGGGGGACTGGACGGTTTTTAGCCGTTCGTTTGCCAGGGTTTGCACGTAATCGTCGACAAAAGAGTATTCACCGTATGGTAAATCACTCGCATCAGCGGAACTCAATTGGCCCTAATCAATCTTTCACGAGTAAATCACGCCGGCACGCAGGCAGCGCGATAGATCAGCCATTCTCAAGCGGCGGACAAATAATCAATCCGCATTTCCGCTGATTCAATCACGTGCGCGCGTGCCCTCGTGTGCGTGCACACGAATACACACGGTGCGTTTACATGTGTGTCTTTGGCGCGCAGTTCCTCCGTCGAAGCCGATGATACTGGACGGGACGACGAGGGACATCTCGAGGTTGGAGGAGCCGTACAACGAGGGGAGTGACGTGAACCTGATTTGCGAGGTACGAGGTGGCAGGCCGCCCCCGAAGCTGACGTGGTACCTCGAGAACACCGTGATAGACGAATCCTATCGCTACAACACTGAGACCGGACTCACGGTTAACCTCTTGTCCTATCCCAAAGTTGGAAGGCAACATCTGAAGGCTCGGTTGATCTGCGAGGCGAGCAACACAAATTTGGTGCCACCGCAGACCAGGCTGGTCATCTTGGATATGAATCGTAAGTATATGAAATTTTAATCTTTTTTTTTTTTAAATTTTTCGATTATTTTATTTTAAACTATGGCGAAAGATTGGCGAAGAACGAAATATCACTTCGAATTTAGACTTTTAAGATTTAAGATCCTGCCCGGAGTTAATGTAATTGATGAGGGTGCTTGAGGCTTTCAATTGTATTGTTTTGATTAATTAAATAAAAAGAATCTTATTCAGTGATCAGTGATCTGGAACGATCAATGGTCTGGAATGTGAGCACGTTGAGTTTACAAGTATAATATATCAATTCCAAGGTAAATCAATTTCAATTTTTATTTGTTATTTGCATCAGGAAGTTGTAATGAAAATATAAATTTAGGATTTGTATTTTTCTAAAGATATAATATTCTTTAGATGAATGTAAAATGGCACGTAGACGTTGTTGCGATATAAGATATTGTTCCATTTTTTCCATCTTACAGACGTAATTGAAATAATCTGCGATCGGTGTGATTTAATTAGATAAGCAATATAAAATGTAAAATTTCGTGGGAAGTTGCCATTGGTTAATGAGAATATTCTTCGAAACGAAACGTTTATTTAGGAACAGGAATAAATTAGAGAGATGAATGGAGAGAAAGGAATTTGAATAAATGATTAATCAAGAAGTAGAATTTGTTTAGTGAGTTTACTAACTGGTAATATTTTACATTTTGAGAGCTAGATTAATAAATTTAAGAATTTTTCTTTGTGAATCAGTTTCTAAAAATAATTTTAGAATTCGAATAATAATAATAATTGGATATATTCAAACAAATTTAATTAGATAATCTCATCTGTGATTTAATCGTAGGTTAATAATTCACGAAAAAGGTAATGGAACTATTGAAATATTTATTTCATTACCTTTATCGTGAAAATGGAATGAAATGCAATTAAAATATAATTTATAAATGGCTATTTTCTGATTCAGTTCTCTTATCGTGTAATTATTTATTGAACTTATATTACAGGAACATCAAAAAAATATTAAAATAAGATGTGAAATAAAATAGATTTGATATTCAAAAAAAAAAAAAAAAAAAAAAAA